AAGAAATGCAAGTAAGATTCCACCTTATTTCAGAAAGAATGGTTATCATCAAGAAATCAAATAATAACAAATGCTGGTAAGGCTGCAAGTGGCTGTAAATGAAAATTTAGCATTACCATGCTTATATTTCTAAAACATGCCTATGCCAAAATGTGAATAGTTGTTCAATTTGAGAGGGATTGGGGACAGAGAGTTTTTTTATACTGTTTATACTTTACTTTTATGTATCTTTTAGCTTTTCTAAAATCCTTATAGAAAGTTAATATCTCATGTTTGAATGCTTAGACAAACAAAATACTGTTTATTTTTGTCTTCTGAATTAATTAGTGTTAAGTATCTGGGAAATAAATAAATCTGTAAAATTAAGCTCTGCAAGTGTATAAAATTCTCCCTCATATTAAAAAGGGTCTTCAAAGAATTAGGTTAGCTCATTTACAAATATCACACCTCCAGCAACAATGCAGTACATGGAATAAAGTAAAAACATTTATACTTAGTTTCTTTAAAACAGCCATTACATCTAGAGAACAATAACTAGTTTAGAGCTAAAGAACATGTAGAAATAGGATCAGATTTTTTTATGGTATCCATTTTGGAAGCACAACCCTTTACCATTTTCCTGGTTGCACTACTTATGGTCTACTTGACAATACCATCTGCACATCAGTTATATCTTCAGGGTAGGTCAAATGTAAAAATAAAAAGGTAAAAACAGTGACTTCAGAAGACTGTATTGCCTGGCCATATGGTCAGTGACTAGAGACTTCCTAGGAGACCCAGCTCATAAAGGTCCACAGCACCTCCCGAGATTTCTAACCCTGGGGACTGACCTGCTAACACATGAACCTTTAGGGGTGCTATCTACAGTCAAGTCAGAGTACACATTAATGTTAAGTTGATGATACCTCAGTCTGAACATGTAAAGAATGTATTATTTTAGATAAAATTTTTTCTTCTGTAACTTCTGTGGTTTGCTATATAAAGTTCAAATTTCTTCCAAGTTGTAGACTAGTTCACTCTCAAATTGGTAAGCTGCAAAATTTCCCAATAAATGACAATCTATGTAATCTTGCCATTTTATATGCCCATTTATCTTATAATGCTAGAGTCTATAGTACTGCCCTAAAATACTGACTAAAAATTTTTTCCAGGACTTGGGATTTAGCTCAGTGGTTCTGCTGCCTGCCTTATAAGAGAGCAAGGTCCCGAGTTCGATCCCAGGTACCAAAAAATATGTGTAAGATTTGGGAAGTTACCAGTGGAAAATTCTAAATTTAGTTACCACACTGGTTATTTTTCTGTATGTACAGAATATGCAACTAAAATCTAACTTTAGTCACTAGTTACATTAAGATCCCAGTCATTTTCAAACAGTAAAAAAATTCAAAATTTTGATTTTTATCCTTTTCAGTACTATTATGGCTTGTGTTTAGATGTCTCCTCAAAGCCTCATGAAGTTACAGGTAGCTCTTTCAGAGGCGGGTGAATCTAGAGTACACAGAATGTGACCCTGGGACTGATTCACTATACCATGCTAGGCTCACAGGTGTCAGGATTAAGGGCATGAGTACTAAGTAGTCTGGATAAGATAAAAGGGGCAGAAAGATGCTGTTAAAGTTTCTTGTTGCTTTTGCTACCTTCTGGCACCATGAACTGTTTCTCCTATGCAACACCTACCTGTCTGCCACACCACTCTGCCTTGGAGCCAGCTGATTATCAACTGAAACCTCTTCAAGCTGTGAGCTTAAAAAACTTTTCCCATTTAATTTGGGGTGTTGGGTATTTTTTTTCAGCAATGAGAGAAAAGTAACTAACATAGTACTTTCTTTAATATGTGATCTTTTAAATCTTTCCAACATCTACAACAATATGTATTTAAAAGCATAATTGCACATAAACAATAAAATGTAAGCTACATCTGTAATGTTGTAGCAAATATAAATCATTCAGTGTGCAAGAGCTAAGCTCTGAAATGGCTAAAATTTCGTGATTTGGTGGTAGCTTCTCATGTAGAGTCCAGGAAGGAATGCATCTGAAAGCAACTCATTTACATAATTATACCACTGTCCCTCCAAAACGCACATGAGCTCTGTAATCACTTAAATATTTTCATTCTATCTAGTTACCACTTTATAAGTATTTAAAATCTCTGATTAAAATGTATCAGGTATCATACCTCAAAAATGTCAAAAAGGGAATCAGAAATTTTGTCAAGAATAAAGAAAACTATATCTCATACATATTTTAGTTAAATCCCCAGTGTATTATTTTGATCACATCCCCATAATATATACAATCAAGGAACCCCAAAGTAAGTGATCATACCACTATTCAGTTAACACTAGTTAACTTCTCAATGAAAATATTCCTGTTCCAAAGAGATTAAGGAAAATTATTTTTGTAGTAACTGGGGTATTCCTATACGATTTGCATCACCAACATTAGAATTTATCCTGTATTAGTCGAGAAGTCAATGGTGTAAAACATATTTAAGAGAAAAGTAAAGAAAGTTTAAATGCTTCTGATAACATGGAGATAGAGCCTAAGAAATGCACTGTTAGGTGACTTTGTCTTTGTGCAATCATCATGTATGTAATTATACAAGGAAAGTTGGCTATATCCCCAGTAAATACAATATCATGGGACAACCATTATAGTAAGCTTATGGCAATTTCTGTCAAATAAAATTATGGTGTGTCCTCATCCACCTTATTCACCGGATCTGGCACCAGGCAGCTGTGGCTCTTCTCCAACGTCAAAATGACCGTGAATGGTAAACATACTGAAACTATTCGGGACATTACAGAAAGCCGTGACAGTAAAACTAAAGACTCTCATGAAAGAGGACTTCTAGATCTGCTTCAGAAAGCAGTAAGAACAATGGGAAAATATGTTAGAAGTTAGGGGAAGTGTTTTGAGGAGGATTAATGGTGATGGCGATTTTATTATAATAATTTTTTAAGTTAAACATGCACTGTATATTGTGATCACATCTTGTGTACATGGTCTGTCACTGATTGAAACTTTATGTAATGGATGACTAATAAAGTTGAGATTTTAGGATAAGATTCTTTTCGTTTTAAACAAACTCCTTCATTTCATTATTCATAATATTTTCATACATACACACACACACACACACACAAACATGGGAATACAGTTTTATAATACCATAAGGAGACATAGGCAAAACATCATTTAATTAGAGACGGAAGGAATACAATGTAGGAAGGTGAAAAAAAGAGAAAAAGATGGAGAAAAAAAATAAAACTACATGGAGAAAGAAAAATAAAAGTAGAAAATCTGAGCCACTAAAATAAATATAGGCTTATAAGTCATTTTGGGAAATCTGGTTTTCATACAGTGACGGGGATATCAGTGGGTATATCTAAACTCAAACACAGAAATCACATTCAAATTTATAAGGCTAAATTTGCAAGGCCAAAAACTTTTAGTGTAAGTCTAGAATGTAGCTAAGCTTTGGGTACAAAACTACTCTGGAAATGAAGCCAGAACAGAATTCTTTGTTTGTTTAACTGGTATAACACTAATGCTTTACAACTGAAATATTTTTAAGTATTTATTGTTTAAATCAAAGTATTCCATATTAGACAATTTAAGTGTAATTTAAAATTATATATGATAACTTATTTCATAATAATTTCAACAATAATTTCATATAGAAACAAATAACTTTAAGAATGGAGACTTAAGGAAAAAACAATAATTTCTTTTTTATTTGCTCTAAGTTTAATTTGTGGTCACCAGGAGGAAGGTATAATGTGTTAAAATTTACTGCAGAAAACTTGATTCAAAAGAGTGAAAGAATCATGGATGATTATTGGAAAACATTAAGATATATACTTGTGTTAACATACTCCAAATTTATAATAGTATTTGCAGAGAGTAACTGAAGAACTTATTAGCTTAATAATGTAATTTATAATCAGAAGATATTTTATAGAAATGGACAAATGGGCAATCCAGATGCATTTATGAAGGCTGTTTCTCAAAAGTAAGTAATATAGCACAAAATATATAAAAATACTAAAAAGAGGGAAAACTAAGTGGAAAAGGAATGCTACTAAGTGTCTCTTTTATATAAAGTTCCCCTCCCTCGTAGGTTAGCCCTTAATGTAGACTTTGTTAGAGTTCGAATAAGTTACTGACACAGCAGTGATATACTAATTTAGGTTAATACCTCTGATTTCTTAACTTAAACATACAAAAGGTGATCAAAAGATGGTGAATGGTGCTGCCTGCCTTGCAAGTGCAAGGTCCTGAGTTAAATCCCCAGTACCAAAAATAAATAATATATATAGATATATAGATATATATATCTATATATATAGATATATAGATATACATAGATGATGTTTAAATTTTTTAAAATTTATCACAATAAAAGACACATTGCCATTAATCATTGACAAAATATGCTCGTCTTTGAATACACTTATCCCATCATTTTTGCCACTTCCTGAAGCAATTTTAAACATCTTCCCTGTCTTTACAAAGTTAAATATGATTAAAAACAACAATAAAAACAAAAACAAAAAACAGCGAATGCTGCTGCCACATGCCACCCAAGAGAAGGGCCCACTTGTACACTGTTGGAATGTGTTCTCATTCACCATGTTCATGGGAACTTGTGACTCTCCCCACAGTCGGAGTGGCCACAGAAGGTGAATGTTTGGAACCAATTTAGGCCACTGAGGTGGCCACGACAATCCAACCAACAAAAGGCCCTCAGGAAGAAGTTCCAGAAAGGCTTCAGGAAGGGGCAATAATAATGGGACAGAAGTGTTACAAGAGAAAGGAGGCATTCTCATGGGAATTAATGGCAATGTGTCTATTATCTGTAATAAACTTTTAACATGTAAACATTCACTGTAATTTTTTATCACATTTCATATGTCAAAATAAATATGAACTAAACAATGTAAAACCCAATATCCATCTGTGTAACACATTCTATTGTAACTTAAAGTTCTCTTTACCTTTATTGTCTGTCTGCTTGTCTGTAAACGTTGATCAGATATTTTCTGTTGATGAAGAAGTTTTTCGTTGACTTCTTTATATTCTTTAACACTCAACTCTGCTGATTTTTTGGCATTTTGGAGTATACCGTTTTGCTGTTGCAAGGATATAATCCGTTCCCGTAATAAAATAATATTGCTACGTGATTTCTGGGCAGTTATGTTTTTGTGCTTTTCTCTGTTAACTATATAAAAATAACATTCATAATATTTTAGATATCAGACTAAACTTTAAAAGACAGTGTATTACAAAATCTATACATATTCTTACCTCTGGTTGGAACTATTGTATATGAACTCTTATGCATATTATCATTCTTCTTTCGAAAATTCATTTTTTTAACACTCTTGTAATCCTAAATTAGAAAGTTTTTAAGAATCTGGTTATTTTTCAAATGAACTGTCCTTATCACTTTATCATCACTAGAACAAATACCCAACACCCACAACATAAAGAAGTTTGTTCTGGCTCACAGTTTTTAGAGGCTTCAGTCCACAGCTGGCTTATTTCTACGCAAAAAGGACATAATGGAAGAGCCCAAGCAGAAGAGAGCTGCGCATCCATGGCAGCCAGGAAACTGATAAAAGGCAGGAGCCTGATGGGGGTGCGTCCTTCCCAATCACACCCCCAGTGAACCGTCTCTTTCAACCAGGTCCTGCCTCCTAACAGCATACTCAGCGACAAATTGATCAGCCAATTAACACACGGCTGAATACAGTGCCTCAGTGATCTAATCAACTGGTGAAAGCCTCGTCTCTGAACATGAGACTTTTTGGTGGACATTCTATATCTACTATTAACATAAACTGACATCGTAAGTAATAGCTACTTACTTAAAAAGAAACTTATTAATGTAAGTGAAGAAAAAGTCTGAACAATAAAATTCTATAATTAGTATATGTATTAGAGAACTTACAAATAATTTAAGTTTATTTGTTTAACAAAAATAAATTTAAGGTTGAACTAGTATGCCAAAGACATAAGTACAAAATCAACTCAAAAGAAGTAAAACTTAAACTAAGGACAGCTTTTTAAAACTAGGATTAAATACAGTAACAACAACAAAAATAAAATACAAATATGTAATGACTTATTCTCTGGGAATCGAGGTCCTTTCACAGACATTTCTTGACTGGATGTAGACAAATGAGGCTACTAACAAATAATACTGAAAATAATATTGAAAATAATAAAGTAACTTTCTTTGAGGGTACATGTCTTCCTCCTGACATTTTAATACTGTGACTAAATGAAAGGAAGTATGTTGACTTTAGTTTCAACGTATTTTACCAATTTGAAAATGATGTCACAAAGCAATTTTTTAAATAGGAATGTTTCAATGTATTATAAATACTACAAATAAAATGTGTTACTTTAAGAATTTATAGGCTGAGGAATATATTCAGTCTAGAAATTATGTCTTATTACAAGAACTTTGTGAAAGACGACAGTTAAGGAACAAATAATTACAGTAAAAATAAACTTAAAAAATAAATTTGAACCAGTATTACAATGACAATGAGCTACATATATTCATTCTATAATGAATTCATAAATTATATTATGCATAAGGTATGGCCCTAATGTAATGAAACTGACTTAATGTATATACCTATACCAGAAACACATAATCAAGATTGGGTTTTCATTAAGAAGGCAGTAAAACACTGTCAGTAATTTGTTCTGCAATTGTTCCAAAGATGAACAAACATTTCAACTTAATAAACAAATGATGTCCAATTATATGAGTAATATGCAACACTGAACATCACATGATCACAACTGTGCCAGTGGTTTCTCTTTCTCTCCCCTACTTCCTAGTTTGCTCTAGCTCTCACTCTCCCAGTGGGATTGTGGATAATTATCTCCCAAGAGCAAGAGGTTATGGAGATCTATCTGCAGAGTAAGACAAAAAGCTGGAGGAATCTCTGACTTCAAATGAAATTAAGAAGATGTACAAAATGTAGAAAACAACAAAATTTTGTAGAAAATGTCAATTGAATAAGGCTGTAGCAATGCAAACAAAGAATCTATTTTACAACAATGCAATGTCACATTTCTGTGAAGTACTCAAAAGGAACTGTCATTGGTAGGTTCCTTGTTAAAGGTGCACAGGAAGAAGAAAATTCCACTAGACAGCAGTCAATCTGTTAGTGACAGTGAAAGTCACACCACACAATAACCCTCCTTTCTTATCACCCTCACACCAGCCATGAAGGTTTTCAAAGGTAAATCCAGATTAATTTGTTTTCTTTTTAATATTTTGTATTTCCTTTATTGTTTTATATTATATTACAGTATTGTAATCTTTCTATATTAACATTTTGGGTTGTGGAATTAATCATCTGCATTTCCATTTTTTATGAGGAAATTCACTTTGATATACAAGTGCTTTGGATTACAGATGTGTTTCTGGAACAAATTATGCTTGCAAACCAAGGTTTTATTGTAATTGGTTTCAGAGATTATAAAATGTTAACAATTTTCATTTCTTAAAATATATTTGAAATACCTCCTTTGAACTTGTTTTCAAAACTAGCATCTAAGATAGTTTTTAAAATGTTTAATGCTAAGTTTCTGTTAGAATTTAAGTATTGGTCACATACTAAGCGCTGTTAAAACATCCCAAACTGAATTACCAGAATTAGTCACTAGATACAGTGTCAAATTAACTGGACCTAAAATAAAAGACAATTGGTCTTATGTTTACAGACATATATTAAACTAGAAATCCAGGTTGCAAGTAACTTCAGCACTCAAACTAGAAGAAACGAAGCAAAAAACGAAAGCCCAAGGAACTCATCACTGTGCTATTCCTTAAGTCTTGAGGTTCTAGCTGGTCTTTTGCCTTCCCTGGAATATTCACAATCTTATTGTTTTGTTTTAAACTATATTAACACAGTCACTATCAAAATACCCAAAAGAATTTTTGTTGAACATTAAGCTGTTTCTAAATTCATTCTGAAGACTAAAAACAAACAATGAAGAAACCCTTGAAGAATGTAAGGCATGAAGGACCCTGTTCTAGTAGCAATTCGGTCCACTATAAAGTAACACGAATGAGACAGCACTATTCAGAAAAATACAGGGATAGAAAAGAAGCTAAAACCAAGAGACATATATACAATATATATAGATATATCTAGATATATCTAGATATATCTATATATGAAATTTCATTTATATAAAAGTCATTGCTGAACATAAAGGGGAGAAAATTCATGACAAATGTGGTACTACTGAGCACAATAGGGAAAAATGTGAAACTTAATCACTACTTCAGATCACATGCAAAAAATCAATGCTAAACACTGGCATTAAATCAAGACAGTAAATCAGAAAATACAGAAAAAGATAACACAGAAGGTCATACAGAAATTTATATAAGTGGGAGTAGGGAAAGATCTATAGTAGCAAAAATACTGCTATTCATTAGGGAAAAAATGGATAAACTGTAACAAACGTACTTGAATATTTAACTATATACTTCAAGGAAGATGTAACATTTAAGGATTCAAATTTAATCACTGATCAAAATCTATTTCATTAAGTTATAAAATATAACAATTAGAAAATAATTAACAAAATTGTGTCTCATACCTGTGGGGTCTTGTCATCCATGTTTGAATACATTTGTACTATTTCTTTTCCTTGCATTTGGTTATTTTCTGTTTTATCACTTTGTTTGTGGTCTTGTCTCTCTTCGGTAGGGCTTATTTTCTGGGACGTTTCCACAATAATTGTCCCCAAATTTTGAGAGGTCTGTGTTTCAGAATCACTGCTTTTAAAAAATGGGAGAAAATGACAATATAAAATTCAAGAAAAGTTGTTACTTCTTTTAGTTTTAAGACCAAATAATATAATATGGATTATATATAAAGGTATAAGTTAATTTGGGCATTTGCTGGCCCTCAATGATAAAAGGAAAAATTAGTTTTAGCCGGGCGTGGTGGCACATGCCTTATAATCCCACCACTTGGGAAGCTAAGGCAGGAGGATCGCTGTGAGTTCAAGACCAGCCTGGGCTACATAGTGAGTTCCAGGGCAGTCTCAACTACATAGTGAAACCCTGTCTCAAAAAAACAACAACAAGAAAAAATAGTTTAAATATATTTTATACAATTATAGAATCACATTAAGAAAATAGATATCTAATATAAAATCCCTATCAGCATAACTTTTAAAGAATTTCCACCAAATGTTACCTCAAAGCACACATCCTTTAACACTTCCAGAGTTTGAGCATGCATCACCTTTTTATTTAGGCCAGCAAGGTTTAATTTTTTTAAAAGAAAGTTCTTCTTCAGTATAAAATATTAATCTCTTAGTCTTTTGCTCATTGAACTGTTTCATTCCTTATGGCCATTTATCATTCAACAAAATATTTGTTAAACACTAACTATGGGTCACACACTTTTTCTAGCCACAGGGATAAAATACTAAATAAATTTAAAAGGAAAAATAACCTCAGCCTTCAGGAACTTTTATCACACAGATGACATGAGAATAGGAAACAAGAAGAATAAATAAAATATATAGTATCATAATAGTGATGTGCTTAAGAGAAAAAAATTAATCAAGGAAGAGAGTTTTGAGGTAAAGTAAAACATGTAAGTCTTTTCCACAGGCATGATCTTTCAACTGCATTGACACAGTTATGTGTTGCTCAAAATATCTCTGCCTTGTTCAAATGTTTCTGGTATAAATGCTTTTGAGATGCTTTTCTACCCGCTCATTCTTTTTTTTTTTTTTTTTTTTTTTTTTTTTGGTACTGGGGATCAAACTTGGGACTTTGTACTTGCTAGGCAGGTGGCAGAACCACTGAGCTAAATCCCTGGCCCATCTACCCCCTCATTCTTGAATGCACATTAGCTTAGGCATCATGTCCAGAACTCAATTTCATTTTCTAAGTGCAGTATACTATGAGAAGTACTTCGTAGAAATTCTGATAGGTGCAGACTAAAATTGTGTAAGCTTTTCTCATCATGTACATGACAATATACACTCATAATTAAGAAAACTTCTTAAAATATCTCTACATAATTATTTTATAAAATCCCATATTTTCCCATTCTGTTTTTTAACAAATAGCATTTGTTAAAGAGCAAGTAAACCACCCTGTAGACTGTCAGGTTAATTGTATCATCCCAATACACTGAAATTTTTGGAGATCTTGATTCTCTATTGTATTTCCATTGCTTTTAATGGCATGCTATCTACAAACTTGATAAGTACGCTGCTAGAATTCAAATATACTATATTTGTCATAATCATATCTTTAAAAGATAACAGGTTAATCTAATAAGACTTTTCCTTGAAGAATCTGTGCTTTAAAAAATGTTCACAAACTATTTTTTATAATATCCTAGATTTTTATTTAGAATTTATTTCACAGAACACTGAAGTAAAAGTTCTTGCTTATAATAAGTAATAGGCAGTCCAGTAAAGGTAGAATATAAGATTGAAAGCAATGCGACCAGTTAGGAAAACTCTTGTAGAATACCAGAAAACTGATAGTAAGAGCTTTAATGTTGATAGTGACAAAAGTGATGAAAAGTGGTCAGATTCTAGAAAGTTTTTTTAAAAAACCACTAGGATTTCCTGATGGATCAGATACAGACTGGAGGCAAGAATGACTCCATATTTTTGGTCAGAGTGACTACCATTACATAAGATAGTTACCATTACATAAGAAGAACACAAGAGCTGAAACAGATTTTGGGTGGGAGACATCAGAAGTATGGATTAGACATTAGATATCTAAGAATGATTTTAAACTGACTTAGCTTTGCAAATTTAAAATTGAGGAGTGAGGTCTGGTTAGGATATATAAATCTGGGCATGACTGAAAATAAAAGTGGCATAGATAATTAAAAATAGTGCTGAGGTCACAAAAGAATATTGAAAAAACAAAACAAAAAGAAGAGGTCCAAGGACCGAGGTTCTTGAAAATTAAGACATTTGGGGAAAAGGGAAATCAACAAGTGACACTGGTGGAATGTCAGCAAGAAAATAAACACTGTAGAATGGTGAAGTATTAAAATAAGAGGTAAAACTCAACATGGTAAAATGCTGCTGAGAGGTCAACTATGATAAGAACTGAGGAAATGACCTTTAGATTTGACAATTCCTAAAAAGAATTGTTTTGAAGGGATGATAAGCTAAAAGGAATTAGAATAAAAAGGATGCAAACAACTTTTTCAGGTTTTTCTGCTAGGGGCAATACAGACAGAGGACTAAATGACACAAGTACAAAGAGTACAGTGAGTCATCTGGTTTCAAGACATAATTCCCTTAATTTCTCCACAGTAACTAGGATCCAGATAATCTGGTTGACTCAGTGGCTCCCTTGGAGCACAGAAGTATGATGAGTCCAGATTGGGCAGGATACAGTCTTAACTTCTGTCCCTGTAGACCACAGGGAATAGAGTTTATTCCCTAAGAAAAGTTTTCCTACTGTGGAGACTAGGTCCCTCAAATCCAATGAACTTGAGGTCACAAATAATGAGCAGAAAGCTCTTCCAGTGAGTTATGTGGTTAGTGGTAGGGTCCACTTCAACATGCAAGCCTTTATCTCTGGACTAATGCATTCTCAGAGACTATTATTTCAAAGCACACGCCCTATTCAATTTTATCTTCGAAACGGGTGACAGAATAACATTCATGTGTTTTTCATTTTTCTGCGGCCTTAGGGATTGAACCTAGAGCCTCTGCACTGAGTTACATCCCAGCTACACCACCACCCCTTTTTAATTTTTGCTTTGAGACCAGGTTTTACTAACTTGCTAAATTGGCTGGGTTTGGACTTATTATGCCTCATGTCAGCCTCTGAGCGTTCTGGGATTACAGTGTATGCTACCATATCCACTTTCATCCACTATTGTATGAAGTCAACTGCCTTTGTATAACGATAGGAAGTAGCACTAGTGAATTGCATGATATAGACCACTGCCACACATTCTTTGACATAATATGTGTCTTCAAGTCTGTGATGTCATTATACAAGTCTAAGAATGAGAGTACTGGTCAAAGGGAAATGATTAAATCCATGTACAAAACTGTTATCCACTCTAGTAAAAACCAACTGATGTCTCCTTCATATCAGAAGAAGCCTACTAAATTGTAATTGACCTACTAAAGGGCTGTCTGGTTTCTTTGAAGAATTCTGCCATGATGGAGGTTTGGAATTATCTGCTTCTGTCTCTACTGACACAACTTTTTTGTTTGTTGTTTGGTTAACCCAGAGATTAACCTGGGGCCAGGTCATGGGTCACTTTGTCCACAAAAAGGGCTTTTTCTGAGCCATTCCAAAAGGTCCATCTATCCACCTTTCCACAGAAACTTTCTGTCACTAATTTATCATTTTTATCCTTCCAAGTTTTTCATATGCTAAAACATACCTTATTCAAGTCATTCCTGTGCATTTATCATAAACTTCACTACTTTTTTAGAGGGGAAGATTGGGAGGTAGTTAAATGCATTAGGTTTTTTCAGGGAAATCCAATCTACAGGATATATTTTTTTTTTCCTGAAATTAGATCCTGTGGGTATAGACAGACAGACACTCTGAACACTTTAACTCAAGTAGGAAGGACACAGAACTTCACCTCCAGGGTGAGATACCAGGCCTGGAGAGTATGATTTGCAGAAAGGTGGTTGGATCTAAAACTGATGGCCTTCCGCCCAGCAGTCTGCTAGAACCCCTACCTGGCTCTTCCATCCAGCACAGAGATGGGGAACATGGGCACACCTCACCGGCCTGCTTGCCACGGTCTGGGTAGAAGACAGAGGAACCTCTGGAGCAGGATGGTTACCGCAGGAGGGTTACAGGCCATGAAAAAATGGTGACTTGATGGATCCCAAGATTGAAAAATCCTAGGAAAGAATCACTCATTCAAAACTACAGAGAAACTTTTCTAATATTTTTCTCTTCCCTTTTTTTTTTTTTAAGTTTGAGGGGCTTTCCCCCATTCTTCTTTCAATTTTTATCTTCTTGTTTTTTCTTTTTTCCCTTTATTTTGCTTTCAGATTGCTCTTTTTTCCACTTTTTCTTCATTTATGGTATCTTTATTCAATTAATTTCCATTTACAGTGGATCCTTGACTTATGAACTCAATTCCTTCCTGAGGGCACTTGTACCTCAAGTTGATCAACTGAAGGCTCAGGCTCCTCTACACAGTCTCCTGTACACAGCAGACCTCAGTGTCCTTAGAGAGACACTGGCCGAGGATTTCTCAATTAACCCCACCCAGAAAAGGATGTGGTAATGTGCCTTCCAGAACTCTTTACAGGTCAATCTGTATCTGACACCATTTGGAAGCACAAGCAGCCGGTATTTAGGTTGCAGCTCTAGACTCTGGAAGTAAATTAAAACTAAAATTCCAGCTGTAACCCAAGCTGTTCATATGTCAGGCCAGTCATAATGCAAGGGTCCACTGTACATCTTCACAGGATCCTTTATCTCGTTTTTCTCTCCTACTTATCTTCTATTGCTTAACTTTTCAAATTATATATTTTTTTCATTCTCCCATTCCCTAACCCCTCCATCTTTACTAGTATAATTATTAATTATTATTAATCTTTAGATAGTTAATGCTCTGCTATTATGGTTATATTCTTTTATATTGTTAGTGGAAATATAATTGTTGCATTTAGTACATATTTACTGTATATCAACATTTGGTTTGTCTTACTAGGCTTCATCTCAGAGTTGCAAATGATGGTTCAATGTATATAAATCAATCAATTTCATACATACATAAACAGAAGCAAAGATGATAA